GTAAAAGCAACCTTACCTAACGTATTTCCAATTCAACTTAAGGTTAGATATATGAAGAGCTCTTACTTTCCAAGAAAGTTTAAAGTTTATAAAAGCATAATATTTTAAAATCCTTGACTTATACAAGCAAATTCGAAAAAAAGTCATGATTCTTTTGCTGTGTTTAATTAACCATCTATACATTATTTGAACTAAATAGGCCTTTATGAATAGTGATTGATTAACTATTATTAGTAAAAATATCATTTGTCATTTTTATACTCACATGACACTGATGTGGTGTTAAGGTGAAAGGTGAAAAATGCCACGTGATCATGTTATCATGTTATATTTGTATATCACATTATCGTCTACTACTCTACTTTCACTTTAAAAAATATAAAAGGAGAAAGTCCAGAAGTCTACTCTTAGTTGCAAAGCTAATTTCATGTAAACACAGCCTTACCTAACATATTTCCAATTTAGTTTGCCAAAGCTAAATATATATCACTAGGTAGTTGTTGTACACAAATACTTTGGATTAGACAACAACTAAATGATTTTGGAATGACTATGCACAAAGTTCCTATATATTGTGATAATATGAGTGACACTTTGGATTAGACAACAACTAAATGATTTTGGAATGGCTATACACAAAGTTCCTATATATTGTGATAATATGAGTGCCATTAATATCTCCAAAAATCCTGTTCAATATTCTAGGATAAAGTACATAGAAATAAGACATTATTTCATTAGAGATCATATGCTTAAGGGATATATTGAAGTAGATTTTGTTCATACCTTGCATCAATTGCCTGACATTTTCACAAAACCATTGAATGAAGAACAATTTTATAGAATTAAGAGAGATTTAGGGATGATTGATGTTAATGAAGTCTAAATTATACTGAATTGATCAGGTTTTTGATGATATATTACATGATGATTGTGTTTATCTCTTGGTGTAATTGATTGGAGAATTTTTTCAATTAGTTAAAGGAACTTTTAATGGAAGATAAAATTCATTCTAATTAGTTAAAGACCTCTTTAATCAATTAAAACAATTCTGTGTTATGGAAGATAATCAGAGTCAATGAGGTAATAATCATTTAATAGCTCTCTCAACTGATTAATGCAAGTTTGTAAAGGCTGCTATGCTCAACCTTTCTATTTTGAGTTTATGGTATCCGAGCTTCAAGGTTACAAATGTCAATTTGAGGGCCGCAACTCTGATTATATATATATATATATATTATTTTTTATTTGTTATGATTTTTTTCTTTTTTTTCTTTGAAACCAAACACCTATAAAAAAAACATAAATTAATTACAAAAAATAAATCAAAAAAAATAAATTGTAACTCAAAAATTAAATAAAATAAAGATTGAAATGAGTAAAGTTAAGGAACTTGGGTTACCTCCCAAGAAGCGCTTTATTTATAGTCTTCGGCTGGACTAACTTGGACTCTAAGCCATGTCAAGCAAGTGTATTAAGGACTTTTGGTGATCAATTTTGCCTCCCCAATAATGTTTTAATCTTTATCCATTGACTTTGAATTTCCAACCATTTGTCCCCTTAACTTCGATTGCTGTATATGGAAATATTTCATTGACAATGAAAGGACCAAACCACCTTGATTTAAGCTTCCCTAAAAATAATTTCAAACAAGAATTATAAAACAACACCACTTGACCTGGTTCAAAGCTTCGTTCCACTATCTTCTTATCATGCCATTACTTTGTTTTCTCCTTATAGAGTTTGGCATATCATAAGCTTGAAGGCGAAATTCATCAAGTTTCTTTAATTGCACCAACCTTTGCTCACCCGCCTTTTGTAAATCAAAATTTAACTTCTTCACGACCCCATAAGCCTTGTGCTTAAGTTCCACCAGTAGGTGTCAAGCTTTTCCAAAGACTAACTTGTATAAAGACATGCCAATTTAGGTCTTGTAAGTAGTCCAATATGCCCACATTGCATCATCGAATATTTTTGCTCAATCTTTTCTTGTGGGACACACTATGTTCTCCAAAATCCTCTTAATTTCTCTATTGGACACTTCTACTTAGCCATTAGTTTGAAGATGGTAAGCAGTTGCAACCTTGTATTTAACTCCATATTTTTTAAAACGTTCATCAAAATATTTGTTGCAAAAGTGACTCTCCTCATCACTAATAGCTACCCTTAGAGTGCCAAAATATGTGAAAATATTCTTCTTGATGAAATTCATCATTACCTTGGAGTCATTGTGAAGAAAGGTTGTCGCTTCAACCCACTTAGAGACATAATCCACAATAAGTAAGAGGTATTTATTGTTATATGAAAATATGAACAGACTCATGACATTAATACCCCATACATTAAAAATTTCTATCTCAAGGATGTTGTTGAGAAGCATCTCATGTCTCTTAAAGATATTACCCACTCTCTGGCACCTATCACAATACAAAATAAAATTGTGAGCATCTTTAAATAATGTAGGCCAACACAAATCTGATTGGAAGACTTTAGTAGTAAATTTTGTTCCTTCAAAATAACCTCCATAATCTGAAGAATAGCAATGGTGAAGCATGCTTTGAATTTCTTCCTCTGAAACACATTTTCTAAAAATTTGATCTTTACATTACTGAAACAAGTAAAGCTCATCCCAAAAATAAAATTTAACATCATGCAAAAATTTTTTTTTTGATAGAAATTTAAATCTAAGAGAATAACATTGCTTATCAGATAATTCACAAAATTAGCATACCAGGCAGTAATTTCTTACCAACTTTAAGGATTTGTTCATCAAAAAAAGTCTCCTTGATTAAGGTTGAATCTTCACTTTTAGCTTTATTCTTTAATCTTGAGAAGTGGTCTGCCACTTGATTTTTTGTTCACTTTCTATCTAGAATCTCGAGATCAAATTGTTATAGCAAAAGAATCTACCTTATTAATCTTG